GGGGGCAGCATGGGGGCGGGGAGCTGGACACTTTGCCTTATGAACACCCACACACCCCACACCCACACCCACCAGGGCTGTGGCTGAGCCAGGCCTCAGGTGGTCAAGGCCCAGTGCGCAGAGGGAACTCTGGGTCCCCGAAATAGGTGGTCTTTTCCTCCTCTGGCACCTGGTGGAGTCCCAGCCAGAAGTAGGTGTGGCTGGGTTGTCAGGGATGAGAAGAGAGGGGCTGGCCACCTGGCCAATCTGGGGGTTTAGGGAGCCTAGCAGCCCCAGGGAAGCAGGTGGGGCATTGCGTGGGCAGGGCTCTGACCTCAGGTATGGGGGTCAGTGGGCCACACGCCCTCTGAGCCGGGGTGGACACGGAGCTGCTCACTAGAGTGTTTCAGTGTGTCAGGGGGCCCTGCTTAGTCCTGCCTCCCATAGCGCTGGTTCCAGTGAGGGCCAGTGGGGAACCGAGAGCTGAGAGGTGGGGTGCAAGTTGAAGGTGAGGATGCTCGGCAGGGGGTTGGGAGAGGACACACAGGCAGGACGGGAGGCCTGGGGAGCTGCTTCAGGGACCCAGGTGGGTGGGCAGGGGGAACAGAGGTTGGAGCACAGGAGGAGCCATGGTCCAGTGCGGTTGGGGGTGCTGCTCCAGCGGTGACTGGCTGGCCAGGGAGAGGCAGTCCCTCATGGGCCCTTGCTGTCTTCCAGACGGATACCCTTCTGCTGCAGGCCGAACGTCGGGCCCTGTGTGCCTGCTGGCCTGCTGGCCGCTGAGGACCGCCAGCGGGGTACCTACTGTCCCCTGGTCAATAAACACCTGACCCCACACCTGCCTCCTTGTCCTGTCTCTGTGTGCAGACCTGCCTTTGGCCACCCCAGGGACCCAGGTTCAGCCCGTTTCTGAGCCTCCGTTTCCCCAGCTGTCCCATGGACACTTTGCGGGGACAGCGATGGGTACCTGCCCCCAACCCCCTCCCCCAGGCTCCCCTGCACTGGATGGGCCTTTGAGAAGGGCTCTCTGGGAGGCCTGCTGTGATCAGGAAGGTGGGTGGCTGGGCAGTGGGTAGTCACCTTCCCCTCAGCCTTGGAACCAGCTCAGTCCTGTCCACTGGTGGCCCCTCTGCCACTCCAGAGACTCCAGGATGGGACTCTGGTCCCCAACAGAGGCACTCATGCCCGTGGCTGTAAGCCCACACTGCCCCTCAGGGTACACTGCCCACAGGTGCTGCCTGGCCAGGAGGGGACTTAGTGGTCAAAGCAAGTCACTCTCCCTCCCGCCCCACCTTCGAGTGGTTCAAAGTAATGCCTTGTATCAGAGTGGTGTCTGCACGCCCTTGGGACAACCCCGGAGTTCAGACGCACCTAAGATCAGCACCCAGCACACTTTGTCCCTGGGGAACCACCTGTGCTTCCCCAGCTTCCCTCTGTAACCTGTAACCCTCCACAGTGCCACCTGGCACCACTGCCAGAAGTCAGTGAGCATTGAGCCCGCAGGCCCCGGTCCTTGTTTCTCGGCCTCAGTCACCCTTTACCCAGGACAGGCCCGCGGGCGGGCAGGTGGGCACCGCTGTTGCCTCATAGAGCCCTCTGTGCCAGCCGTCTGGCTGAGGGGGTGCGTGTGCCTGCATGTGTGAGGATGCCAGGTGGTGCTGTGGCCGGACCCTCTGCTGGCAACTGCAAGGTCGGTGGTTTGATCCCACTGGCCGCTGCACGTGAGGGAGAGGCAGCAGTCGGCTTCCCTAAAGATGCCAGGCCTGGCACTACCCCTGGGGGCAGTTCTCTGTCCTACAGGGGTGCTGGGAGCTGGAGCTGATGGCAGCAGGCTTGGTTTGGGGGTGTGTGCGTGCATGTGTGCGTGTATCTATCTCCTATGTCCGAGTCCTGCTACCCTGCCCTCTACACTGGGCTCTCGGCCATCCCCTGTCTTGTCGTTAGTGCCTGAGAGCACCCTAGAGGGCCTGGGGGCCTGGGAGGGGGTCTGGGAGAGTCTTTGAGAGTTTTGAATATCTGGAAGGGCCATGGATGACCTGGGAGGGGGTCTGGGAGCCCCTGGCCGGCTGTTGCCTGGACCCTCGTCCAGCTGCTAGGACACCCTGAACAGGCCAGAGTTCCCTTGGGCAGCTCCATGGGGCCAGAAGACAGGTACCAGGCCCAGTGGTCACTGGGGAGACCCTGAGGCAGGCAGGGAGTAATGGGGTGTGGGGGTGGGGCAGGGCCCTGCCATGCCTCGGTGTGTGCTCACCTGTGGGGGCCTGGCTCCTCTGGTCTGGCCCAGCACCATCCAGCAAGGAACTGAGGGTGTGGTGTGGTAGCAAAGGCCTGCCAGTCAGCCCTGGTGGGACCAATCACGTAGGCGTGAGTTTGTAATGTCCACAGAAAGATGGGAGGAGGTTGTGCAAATGAGGGCCGTGGAGCTCTTCATGAGGGGGCCTGGCCAGTTGTACTCTCCTGCTGGGCTTAAAGGGAGCTGTCCCAGGGGCGGCCCGCAGAGCCCGACCACCACCAATAGAAGAGCTGGGAGCACAGCGCTTCCGATGGTGACCCGAGGTCCCTGTGCTGGAAACCACCGAGACTCAGGAGACATTGAAAAGCAGCGGTGCCAGCCACAGAGCCAGGAGAACGAAGGCACTGGAGCAGGGCAGAATTGGTGGCCCCTGGGCACTTGGTGGAGCGAGCCTGGCTCACAACCGAGAGAACGCTGAGTGCCTCTGGGCGGCAGCACCCTGGCAATGAGGTGTCTCCGGGTGGGCACTTACAGCTGAGCTCAAGCTGAAGAGCTTTGTGACACTTGCCCGAGCCGGGCAGAGGCCCACGGGGCAGGAGAGGCCTGCCCTGACCGAAGAACGGTATCCCGAGTGGTTTCTGAATTGTAATTGGTCACTGCCCGAATAAACCCCATAGCCTTGAATGCTGTCTGAATTCTGTGTGGCCACTGTCCCGGGTGAGCAAACCCAGCAGAGGAGACAGTGCTGTGGGGCGGACGGAGGGTGGGGGCGTGGGTAGCCTCTGCCTCAGGGGAACTGTCCCCGCTTGGGCGGATGCTGATGGTGACTCCCCTGTGCTAGGCTGAGTTGTCTAGAGAAAGACAGAAATAAAACCAGTGACAGTCAAGAAAGCAGCCCAGCCCAGTTCAAGTCCATGGGTCAGATGCTAGCGGGAGCTCTCACCAGACTCACAGAGCTGCTGGCCGGTGACGAAATGCAGGACGCTGGGAGAGGGCGGGCTGGTGGGTACACAGTGGCACCAATCCAAGGTCCGTAGGAACACGTGAGCACGGCAGCTCTCAGGGACAGCGGGCCACATGCCCCCCAGGTACCAGTCACAGAATCCAAGCCAGCAGAGAGGAGAGACGGAGGTTCCCAGTCTAGCGCTTACAAAAAGGCCACACCCCCAAGGCTGCATCATCAGGCGGTGACCTGACTGACAGGTTGGACTCTACTTTCACACAGGTGCAAGCTGACATAAATCCTCCCCTTCACACTCTCCCTCCTGAACCTAGAGGGGGTCAGATGACCTCCCCTCCATGCTGTTGGGGCAAAGCCTTTACAAAGGTGCAACCTGGACTGTGCTCATGTCCCATTGGTGGATCTCAGTCACGCTCATGTCCCATTGGTGGATCTCAGTCACATGGCCATCATGCGCTGCAAAGGAAGCTGGGAATGGCGCCTTTGCGCTAGGCATGGGTCGCCAGGTGCAGCAAATACAAACACCGGATAATCAAAATGCGGTTTCAAGGGTGGGTGTGTCCCCTGCCATATTTGAGAAACGCTTCCATTAAAAATTACTTCCCCCCTTTCCCCACAATTGAATGCTTTCTGTATGTCATCTGTACGGCCACTCAAGTCTGAGGCGCTGCGGGCCCTGCTGACCATGTGGGGGCCGGTGTTTGCGGGTTGGTAGGTGCCCGAGAGTCAGTTCCAGCTCCTCACGATCCTGTGCCGTCCTCACAGTTGGCCTGGT